CATTGGCTGTGTGTTCTTCCAGAGAGGAGGGTGCCCCCTTGATCGCGTGCTGTTCGCTCAGCATCAAGGCCACCACAGTGCAGAGGAGGGGCTGCCTTACTCCCTGCTTTTTAGCAGACTATGGAGAGTCAGAGACCCACGTTGTTTCTCTCATTTTGGCAGGCTGGTTTGTCCTTTTAACCTCTGAGTAGTGACTTTCTCTCTAAAATGAGGGGTTCAATGTCACTGTCTGAAAGGGGCCTTCTAGCATTGGCACCTTACGCTGGCCTTTAGCCAGAAGAAGGGTTACAGCTTTGGCCAAGGGGCATTTCCCCCTCTCTGAGGCTCAACGGCTCATTCCAGACAAGTTGGCATAGGAAAAAAATGAGGGTTGGCCCCTCCCTCTTGAGACTCCCATTCCCACTCCTTCCCTCTGCCCACTGCATAGAACCACTCTATAATTTCTCTGAAGAGATTGAGAGGACCAGTCAGTCCCTTTCACTTCCTATCCCACTGACATCATCAAAGCCCAGTTAGGGAGGTGGCAAACAGCAGACGTGAGCCCAGTTTACAATGCACTATCTTGTCAGCAAAACTTGGGAAATTCCTACTGATTACTTCTTGAGGATATTTTCTGGACCTTCCACGCAACTAGACTTAAACTTGACCTTGACATTGACCTCTCTGCCTCTACTATCCAAAAGGCTACAAGACACTTTTCAGGTACACTCATGCTCCAACTAGCCATGAGTTGTCATCCTGGTGGTTCTAGGGCCCCTCCCACAACCTTTCTTGCCCCACATTGCTCCCTCAACCCAGCTCCTAAAGCAGAAATTCTCCAAGTGTGGTTCCAAAGAACCTTGCTTTAGAATCACCCAAGAGGTTTACTAAAATATAGACTCCTGCCCTGGCTGGTGTGGCTCAGTGGAGTGAGTGTGAGCCTATCAGCCCAAAGACTGCTGGTTCGATTCCTGCCCAGGGCACATGACTGGGTTGTGGGCCAGGTCCCCAGCTCGGGGTGTGTGGGAGGCAACCTAGCGATGTTTCTCTTGCACATCACTGTTTCTCTCTTTCTCCCCCCCTTCCCCTCTTCCTAAAAATAAATAAATAAAATCTTTAAAAAGTATATAGAGTTCTGAGTCAGACTGACTGGATGAAAATCTCTGTGGGTAGGCTGAGGAACCCCAGTTTTAACCAAGTTTCTCTGGTAATTCCTACCCACATGAAGTGGTTTGGGGAGCAAATAATCTAAAGCCATCCTTTAGCTAGTATTAGTTATGGTGAAGACACACCATTCTGTCTACTCTTTATTTCTTTCCAACAAACACTTACTGAAAGCCTACTATGTGCTAGGCACAAGCTTGACCCATGAGCCTTTTCTTCACAAAGCTCTCACAGAATGGCACAGAACTTGAAACTGTTTTCCAGAGGCAGGGTCCTGTTATCAGACTCCTGATAGGTTTATAATTCCTGTCCTTAAGATCCCTTTTATCCCCCTCTCCATCCCTAGAAAAGCCTCCCCCCACCCTTTTGCGCTAACAAGCAAGAGCTCTCCTGTGCTTTGGGGCTTTGGAGCCAACAGTTTGCATGCGCTCAAGTGTCTCCAAGGGGTAACAGGGTGGGGCTTGTGGACAAGGGCTGACAAGAGGCTTCTTTGGAACAACTGTAAACGCATTGAAGACCAGACTGCCATGCTCTGTCCCTTCTGTCTGCAGAAAAGAAGCTTGTCCTTTCGAATGGGAGAGAAGAGCAGTCTTGGGGAACGGGCAGGGGATGGCTGCTGTGGTAAGCGGGATGGGAGAGATTTCAAAGCATTCCTACATCAAACACAACCTGGCAATCAGGCCCCTCTGCTATCGCCTCCTGCTGAGGACTCAGCGCCAGACACAACAGGGCAAGTGACCCTTCGGAATGCATGACTTGAACAAGCAAGAGAATCAGTAAGACCTTTCTCCCATACGCTGTGAACATTTAGGAGACAAACTTTAAAGTTACTCAAAATACTCTACATTCACATCTTTCTCATACACTTCCCCCAATAGCTTCCAATTTCTCCTTAGAAAGCTATAAACACAGATTCTTCTGGAGTAGACTTATAAGGCTAAGACCTGTGCCAGAAATGAATCCCTTGTTCCTTTGGATTGTGAATATTTCCCCCTAGTCTAACCCTCTCCCAACAAAATATTCTAATATAGTGGGTCCTTGGCAAATATTAGTTGATTTTGAGTCTGAGATGACCCAAGTCTTAACTGTACCAGTCCTGGAGTGGAGATGATAACTCTGCACCCCAAGGCATAGGATCTGCCAAAAACCAGGATATTAAAGGGAGTAGAAGGAAGGATGAACAGAATGTATCCCCCTATATGTGATTATTAGAGAGTCTGAACAAATAGTGAACACCTCAGCCACAGTTGTGAAAACAAAACTCAATTTTTAAATCTCATTCTTTTCCCTCAGCGAAAGCTCAGTCTCCAAAATTTTGCCTCAGTGAAACAGAGCTCATGACTGCATCAAAGTCAGTGTTTGATTTTGACAGGAAGGATCCACCTTTTACCCCAAATACTCAGTAGCAAAAACCTGGTCCTTGTTGCAATGCAGGGGGCCAAGGGACCTAGGCTGCCCATTTTTCCTGAAACCTCAGAGAAAAGGGCTCTAAATTTGTTAGATTTTGGCTAAACTTGCCAGGCAATCAGGCTGGGTTTTCTGTCCTACATCCTGGGTTGCAGCCAGCTGGACACCTTCAGAGAGGTTTACAAGGCCACACTTCCTTCTTGACCCCCTCGGGCTTCTGGGCCTAGGAGCTGTCATTTGAAGAGTACCTTTTGAGAGAGGGCCTTATGGTTTTGAGATAGGAGTATAAGAGCTGGCCATTACTCAGGTTAAAAAAAAAAAAAAAAAAAAAGGCTACTAAATTGTCACCAGGGGTGGCTATGAGGGGACTGTGAACACAGCAGCACCTCATTTGCTGATTCTTTTGCATAAGGGTGCAGAGGGAGGGCAGTGAAAGAATGCATCTACATTGAAACATGAGCTATCTCTGAAGAGCTCTATCATTTCCTATCAGGGTGCTAGAGAAAAACCTTTATTTTTCTCTTTTAAAAGACTATTTAGGACCTTTGTCATTGGATTGGTTACAGGAGAAAACTGAAGTAGCAACATCAAGTATGAAAGGCTATTTTCAGCATAGGACTCTATTTTCCAATGAAATTCAAGCACTCCAGCAGTGCAGGAATCCCAGGTCCCTTTAGCTTTGTGCTGGTTCCTTTCTACCTGCCCCCCACCCCCTAACCACCATGGCTCACCCCTCCCCCATCTTGGCTCAACTTTAGCTTTACCAGCAGTAACAAGTTTGGTGTGGCTTTGTTTATATGCAAGTTCACATCAGTGTAAGGAACTGGCTCCTTGGACTACGATGGCTCCTATTTTGCAGACTTCCTCAGACTGGAATTTTAGGCAAGGGCTCAATCGCTCTTTCATGACAAATGGATCAGTAAAACAATAATAAAACCTCAGTCACCATAACTCAGAGGCTGTAATAGATCAAGTTCTCAAGGGCACTTGAAAAGCTAAGAGTAGACGCTCTTCAGAGTTTTAGGAAACCACCCTCTTTCATTACTGCTGTGTGTAAATAACACTTATTTGTTTAATTTGTTATTTTCCTACAGCCCCAAAGAGGGAAGCATTAAAATAAATATTCAAGGAAGTTGGAAAGTTTGTCAATGTAAATAGTGACCCTTCTACTCTTCATTTCCTGTGCCAACTGCACTTTTATTTCCCGTCTCTCTCACTCAGTAAACAAAACCATATTATCAAGGGAAAGATGTGAGCCCATTAACATTGTAAGCCCTCAGATTACACTCGCAGGAGACGACGCAGCACTTATCTGATGGAACAGAAGCTTTAATTGCTTCGAGGTACAAGCCTGTCCAAACCTTTGAGATCTGACCCGTCCCTAGGAAGCCTTTGCGCCTGTGAGCCAAGTGCCTGGGAGAAAGCGTGCCCAGGACCACTCCGTGTGCCAGCTTCCCAGCGAGGAGCAGAGGAGCGCTCGATCACAAGGGCAGATCCTTTATTCTGACAACCTATTCAGAGGGGAAAATCAGCTAAACTTCCCAACAAGGCAGAAACTTTATCTTCTGTCTAAATCAAAACCTGGCACTCCAACACTCGCACTTACGACGCCACAACTGGAAGGAGTGAAGAAGCTTAAGGGAATGCTGTGAAGTAACGTGGGAAGCCTACAAGTGAAAATGCTGTGCCTCCCCCAGGTACCCAGCGCCTGCAGTATAAAATTTAGTCCCAGAAGTCGGAGAAAGGGGGAAAAATTAACTCCCCTGCTCCAGGTTTAGGACAGAAATAACACTAGTGCCAAGAAAACCAAAAGAGCACAGAGCTCAGAGATGAAAAAAAAAAAAAAAAAAAAAAAAAAAAAAAGGAAGAGAAATAACTATCTGCCCTGGAGAAAGGCTAGGAGCTGTCCCTACCTGCCGAGCTCCCCTTTAAACTTTTCCACACCGCGACGCCCACAGTGCGCACCTGAGCGACTAGCCGCCCATGACCCCGAACAAGTTTTCACCTTCTCCCCCCCATCCTCGTCCTCACCAGAGAGGCCAGTCCGGCTTTCCTCCGCGACACCTTGCCCAACCTGCCCAGGGATCAGGCGTCCCAGGCTCTCGCCCCACGCCCCCACCCCGCCCTTCCCCAGGCCACTCCTGGGCCGTGCCGGCTCTCCCTGGGGCCGGGGGCCACTGGGTGGCGGCCTCCCGCAGATTCGGCAAAGTTGGCGGCGGGGCCGGCGCGTGGAGTCCGGGGCCGTGCGGGGAAGGCGCCCATTGGCCGGCTGCCGCCACGTGGCCACCCCGGCCTCTATATTAGGCCACTATTTACCTCGGGCTCCCTCGCCATGGCTCGGCGACGGCATCTCGGGTAAAGGAGAAAAGCGGAGCAGCGCAGAGCGCGGCGGTCCCGCGGACCTCGCAGCCCAACCCTGAACTGCGCGTTCAGGTCGTTGGGCCAGAGCCATGAGCTCCTACCTGGAGTACGTGTCGTGCGGCAGCGCTGGGGGCGGCGGCGACCTGCTTAGCTTCGCGCCCAAGTTACGCCGCGCCGACGCCCGGCCGGTGGCCTTGCAGCCCGCCTTCCCCCTGGGGAGCGGCGACGGCGCTTTCGTCAGTTGCCGGCCCCTGGCCGCCGCCCGACCGGCGTCTTCGCCCCCGGCCACTCCCGCGCCACCCCCTGCTGCACCGCCGTACGCACCCTGCACCGTGGAGGGTGCCTACGAGCCGGGCACCCCACCTGCCGTGGCAGGCGGCGCGGACTACGCCTTCCGGGGGCCCGGGACCGCATACGATTTCCCGTGCGCGCTGGGGCGGCCGGTAGACGACGGCGGGGCGCACGTCCACTACGCAACCTCGGCCGTCTTCTCGGGCGGCAGTTCCTTGCTCCTCAGCGGCCAGGTGGATTTCGCGGCTTTTAGCGAGCCCGGCCCCTTACCGGCGTGTCTCAAAGAGCCCGCCGACGGCCGCTTCGGGGCCTACCAAACCGCGTCCCCGGACCCTGGCGCTTACCCCAAGTCCGCCTCCCCAGCCTCCGGCCTCCCCGCTGCGTTCAGCACGTTCGAGTGGATGAAAGTGAAGAGGAACGCCTCTAAGAAAAGTAAGTAGTTGAGCCTTGGACGGACGCTTCTGGGGTTGGGGACAGAGCCTCCTCTGCGAAATTGCGCTAGGAGCACCTTGCAGCTGTCCCTCTAGACGGCGGTTTGTGTTCTGTGGAGGAAACGCGTTCTGAGGTGTTATTAAGGCAGGCCAATCCCAATGAGCGTGCCCCGAACACACGCTCGGAGAGTGTGCCAGGCATGGAAAAATTGCAGGAAGGGGCTCCCTGCATGGAGCACTTCTCCAGGCACAGCTGTGTTAGTAGAGACCCAGGAGGGCTTGCGCTGTGACTTTGATTCTAATTGTAGCCCCACTGCTCGCCGACGTTCGGTCTTGGCGTCCTCTCGCCCCGCTGATGCTCTGTCTTTACGTTGCAGGCAAACTCGCGGAATATGGAGCCGCTAGCCCCTCCAGCGCGATCCGCACCAATTTCAGCACCAAGCAACTGACAGAACTGGAGAAGGAGTTTCATTTCAATAAGTACTTAACTCGAGCCCGACGCATCGAGATAGCCAACTCCCTGCAGCTGAATGATACCCAAGTCAAAATCTGGTTCCAGAACCGCAGGATGAAGCAGAAGAAAAGGGAACGAGAAGGGCTTCTGCCCTCATCCAATCCTATGGCTTCCCTCCAACTTCCCCTCTCAGGCAAGAACCCGGGGAGCCCTTCTCAGGACCAAGAGCCCTTATGAGGTTTAGTCTTGAGGCTGAGGAAACTTGGCCTGCAGACCTCAGGCCAACCCACCCCTGTCTAGACTTACTAGCTCAGTTTGGGATGGAGGTGGACCTGGGTGGAAATAGAGGTTTCACGGGGGAAAGCAAGTGTCTTAGTTGACTTATGTGGGTGTACAGATATTAATTTGAGGTCTCTTAAGCCACTCATATATGTATTATTTGTGTCTTATCAGGGCAAAGGTGTCCAGCTGCCAGCCCAACTCTGCTGCTATGTTGCCTTAGTCCTATGCAATTCCTGGGTGCAGAGTGGTAGTGCATTAGTTGCAGAGCTCTGCCAAGCCCCTGATGTGCTCAGAAGAGCATCTACCCAAAGTTTTTGTGGTTTTAATTAAAAGGACAAGACTACATATATTCAGCTTCTTGAGATGACCAAAGCTAGTTACGGCCTCTTTGATGTAGCTAAGCTGCTTCAATGATGATCTTCACATTTGCACTCCAGTTTTGTTTTTCTTTAAGAAGCAATTTCTACCTCTCCATGTGCCTGAGTGAAGATACAATCGCTGTTTAGTTAGTAGTTGAACAAATTCACAGGATGGGTAAAGATTAGAACCTGAACTACACCGCCACATCAGTTACTCAAACTTGAATGTAAATATATACAATATGTATATTTTTAAAAAGTCTTGCTTGAAATGAACATATATGACATTAAATGTCATAGCATGTAAAAGGTTTGAACTTTTTTTATAATAAAAATTACAGAATATGCTACTCTCTGCTTTTCCTTACTCTTGTTTTGATTTTCTTTCAAGCTGATTCAGTTTCTTCTATTTCGAATGTCTTGATTCTGCTCTGGGAATTTATTTAGGTTGATAACTTTAAAAAAATAACACTTCTTACAGGTTGTGTACACAAACAAATCAGGGACAATTATCTGAGCAGTTTAAGGGAGAAAAAAACTACTCTGCCAAATATCCAAGTGTTCTAGGAATTACTTCATTTGCTTAAGTGCCCTAATTTTATGGCAGATATGTAGCCTGCACATTGTCTTATAGATAAGGTGCTCACTGTGGGAATGTTATAAAGCCAAGGAGACACTGCAAGGAGATCCTGTTCTATTGTCCCCTGGTCTTACAAAAGGAAAAGGAAGGGTGACCTGAAGACTTTGCTACTTGATTAGTGTTCTCTGAGAAAGGCAGCTGCATGTCAAAAATTCTCAATGGTTAGATTCCCATTTCCAAGGTCAAATATTATAGAGGCTGAAAGAGACCAGTACTCAGGGCTTTCCACTTACTGAGCATCTGGCCTTGTAAAAGCACAGAGGTGCCTTTCTGTCTTTGAAATTAAATAATTTCAAAAGAATTTATAGGAAGAAGTACAAACACACAATCTGAAACTTGGCATGAGGATATGTGTTTAAAAAAACTGTCTTCTTAAACCTTGTTTCCACCCAGTACCCAACCCATGGTTGACCAAACTTTTATGTAACTTACAGAAATATTTGAAAAATGTAATGTTTATACACAAAATCACTAGATGCTTGGGATAATTGTCAGAGTGGGTCATTTTCCTCACTCTATAGATGCCTATAGCTATATCTTTTAAGTTTTCTGTATAATTCAACTGAACGGCTTAAAGGCCCACATAATCCAGATAAGAACCTCAGTTCTCCTTTTAGCTACGATTTCTAGATTCTAGAGTAGTGCCTCAACTCCAATAATTCAGAGGCCTAATGATTGTGGAGGATTACTTTCCTTATAGTAATGTGATTAATTGTCTGAGAAGCTTGAAACTGTAATGAACTTCGGTCCTTTGCACTCCCAGTTTGATGGAATTGAAGAAATAAAATTATCAGCTGTAAACAAACTCAGCTGATAAGGAGAAAAAGCACATAAAAAAACAGGTCTGTCAATATTATTCTTATGTTTTGCCATCTGCCCTTCACTAACTTGATGCTAATCAGATCTTGTTTGAAACAACAGCCTCCCCTCTGAGCTCTGTAGCTATTTGGAAGGACTTGTTAAAGGAGTTTTGATCAGCTTGCTTACAGCTACCTCCAGTTTTCTCCTGCAGTGGTCTTATGTTTCCTTTCTGATAAGTGTTCAAATGTACACCTAAACAAAAACAAATGAACAAACAAAAAATAGCAACATATTTGGTCATTTCTTTAATCCACCAGGCTTTTCTTCGAAAAAAATGAAGCTTTTTTTTTTTTTTAAGCCACTATTAGCACTTAGCCCTGATGGATGTCTTCCTTGATGAAGGTGGCTATTTTGACATGTATAATGCTGTTCTCTGAATCAGGCCAATATTAGCTATTTTTTGATCAACCCTAGGGATCTTTAAAAGCTTTCTTAATGCAGATCACTATACAGCTCTATTCAGTATTAGAGAGAGTCTTGACTGGAGATCTGTATGAACTAGGTGACCTCTGGAGGTTCCTTTCAGAATGAAAATGCTACAGAAACAATTCAATTATATTTGATTGTTTTATTTTGGGCCTATCATTGGAAGAAAGAGAATTCAGTTCTAAGAAAGCAAATAAGGAAGTGCTGTGTCCAGAATTGTGGTGATACTGTGTTTATACAGGAAAAGTGGATTTTGGAAATTATTAGATACATCTCATCAGTGTAGGAACCTAGCCCATGTGGATTGTTTATAGAACAGTCCCCTTCTCATTATTCAGAGTCTTGTGTTATTTTGAATCAGATCATTCATAAAGTATGATGGTTATTACTCAAATTGTGCAACTGCTAAAGCAATCCCATTTCCATTTTACAGGGTTTCAAACTAAACATGCTAATTCACCCACCAGCGACACATTACAACAGTGAATACACATTGTTCTGGCTGTTGTATAATTAAGTATTCAATGTTGCTTTGTCTTCACAGAATGACCGTGTGTCTATTTTTCTAGATTCTGGGCAGTTCGAAGTGAGGAAAAAGAAATCATTTAATAGCATATAAAACTTGCATTACTTGAGTAACTAGCAAACGAAGGATTTGCTGATGTAGAAACCTAAAGCAGCCCAGGCTAGTGTGGCTCAGCGGATTGAGTGCCGGCCTGTGAACAAGAAAGTTGCAGCTTCGATTCCCTGTCAGGGCACATGCCTTGGTTGCTGGCCAGGTCTCCAGTTGGGGCTGTACAAGAGGCAACCGAATGATGTTTCTCTTGCACATGTTTCTATCCTTCCTTTTCTTCCTCCCCCCTCTCTAAAAATAAATAAAACCTTAAAAAAAAAAAAAAACCCCTACAGCAATGTCATCTAGATTCTCAAAAGATTAATTGTGTATGATTTATTCTGCCTCAATCTCATATATGGCGAGGCCCAAGACCAGAAGAGGTTATGTCCTATTATCATCTCATTAGAAAGGAGGGGCAGGCTCAAGAGAGCTGCATTAGCTTTGATCTTCTTAATTATTTCTTATGGCCAAACAAATGCTCTATATTTGCTGAATATTGAATTTGAAAACCTCAGGACCTAATCAGGTTCAGAGAGATGTTTAGTTTGACCACAGACCTCTCAACAAGAAAAATGCCCATTGTTAAAACTTTATTTGTGGTTTTAAAGTGAAACCATGCTGGACATATCTCACAAATAATGATAAATCTCCATCTAAATAGAAATCAAGACTTTCACAAGCTTAACTTCTATAGCATATTTCCAGGGCAGGAACATGCAAAAAATATATACAAAATAGTTCAATTTAACACCTATCTTGTATCTGTTTAAGTAGTACTTGTCATTCAGAAATATAATCTCAATATTATATGTTCAACTAAATTTCATAATGAACTAAGGGGAAGGAAATCCTAACTATTGATATGAAAGAGAGTTCTATTACTTGGATTGTAAAGATTTAAACATGATCTCTTCCATTTCTAATAGTATTATTGATATAATTTGGAAAGGATGGCCAAAGAATTGACATTTAGACTTAAAATAGCTAAGAAAGCAGATCACTGACACTTTACAGCATTTCTAGGGGGTGCTAGACCATTTAGCACCCCCTAGAAATGTGTGGAAGTTAAACTACAATTTGAGGGGGAATTAAGAAAAAAAAATACAAAATCATTAATACAAAATTGCTAGGGCACCTCCCAGGACCTACAAGGGCCCAAATTAGTGAAGCTTAAGTTTCTTTAGGTTCATGGTAAAGCCATCTCTGTCCCCTGCCTGAAACCAATGCTCCATGCCCACTACCCAGCCATTTCCTGTAAGATGGTAACAGTGATTGCTTTTCTCCAACATCTTGGAGCCAGAATTACTGTTTGGTCTTCTCTGAGTGTATTCAATAATAGATAATGTGGACTATGTCAGGTTGGGGCTCTGTTCTACAATCTGAGCATCTCAATCCCACTCTGCTTTGGGTTTCTCACTGGCTTGGAATGGAACGCTCTCTCATCCTGGAGGGCCTTTTCTGTGTGTTTCCTTCTCTGTGATACAAGCAGAAGAGAAGTATATGGGGGACTGCCCACAGCTACACTCAGCTTCTAAGCATTTTCCAGAAAGGCAGAATCACTGAGACTGAGGTAAAGGACTGCATAAAACAGAACATTATTTTTAAGGGAAGGAACCTGGATTTTTGCACCAGATGTGTTCTCTGATTAAAAGAGAAAATAACTCCCCTGTTCTCCTATAAAAAAGAGGAACTGGTCAGGATGGTCATTAAGTTTTCTTATCACCTGAGTATTCTTCCATAATCCTTTATTTATTACTGAAAAGTGTATTTAAAAATATTGAAGCTCTGTAAGATTATCATCAATTAAAGGCTATTATTGGAGTACTATCTCAGGTCTTTAAAATTTCATTTCTCTACCTCTGGCTGGTATGGCTCAATGGATTGAGTGCTGGCTTATGAGCCTAAAGGTTGCTGGTTCAGTTCCCTGCCAGGGCACATGCCTGAGTAGAAGGGCCAGGTCCTGCAAAAGGCAACCAATTGATGTTTCTCTCCTTCTCTTTCTCTCTCCCTTCCCTCCTATAAGTAAAGTCTTAATTTTTTTAAAATCTCTCTAGCTTTAGAATGTATGTATGGATTGCAAAATAAATTCTTCCATTGAAGAAAAGAGATACAGACCATCAAATCACTCCTCCTTTCCAAGGTTGCCACCGTTTGTCCTTCTCTGTTGGCTTCAGTGTTATCATCTTCCACTGAGACATGCAATGGGTGCCTCGCTGGTATCTTTGCCTCTAATATCCTTCCCAGCCAATCCATTGGAGAGCCGTGTCGTCATCATGTTCCACTTTGAATTCTCAGTAGTTCCTGGTTGCCAGTGGGAGAAAGTGAAATGTCTTTAGCCTGAGATTCAAG